TCTCTCTCTCTCTCTCTCTCTCTCTCTCTCTCTCTCTCTCTCTCCTTTAAGCTAATCTTGAGCTCACTATATAGCCCAGCCTGGGCTGGAACTCATAGCAATCTTTCTGCCTCAGCCTCCCAACTGCTACCGGCATGTGCTACCACACCCAGCCTGAGGTGATTTTTACACTTGTATAAATTTGAAACCACTGACCTGGAGGGGTAATTTATAAAAGTAAAATTCCAGTGTTAGTTAGGTTGTTGGATTCTTTCCTATTACAGACCACAGGCCAGAACGTCAAGGAGAAGCCTGTAAAAACCTAATTATAAGACCAAATATAATGTTAGGAGACTAACAATTAACAAATCTATTTACAAGATTGTGTGTCCTTTTATTGTAAATTACTTTTGTGAAACATCTCAATCAATTATATATGTGAAACACCTCTGAAGCAAGCATTCTTCCCTGGAAGTTGTTTAATCCGGACTTGCTTCCATAAAATTAACTACCTGCCCAGGTTTTATGTGCTACCCACACACTAGTCTCCAGCAACCCTGGAGTCATTCTCCGAACAAGTCTCATTCCCTGGACAAAAGGAAATGGGCTGAAAATGAACTGAGTCTGGTCAACTGCACAACATTTAGGCTGATTAAATTTAAACTGGTTATCATAGGAGACTAGCTTTAGAGATATTTAGAGATAAAATACGAAATGTAATCATATGTTTGGATGAGCAAGGTATACGATAGTCTAAAGCCAAAGAGCCTAAAGAGAAGATGGCTTAGGATCCTTTTTAGTTGTATAATTTGACCAAGCCACCTCTCCATCTAAATGTAATATTAACATTATTAAACATTATTAAGTAGCTGATCCTTATTATAATTTAGTTGCACGTAACAAAGAAACTTTGTGTGTGTGTGTGTGTGTGTGTGTGTGTGGGTGGGTGCTGGAGACTGAACCCTGGGCCTTCTGCATGCCAGACAAGTGCTCTACCACTCAGTCATATCCTCAGCCCAGGAAGAAATTTTTTTTTTTTTTCAGAACCGGGGGTTGAACTCAGGCCCTTGTGCTTACCATGAAAGCGCTTATTCTACTGAGCTATCTCCCCAGCCCCTGAGAAATTTATTTAACCTGATGATAACACCGCACCCAGGCAGTTCAGATCTCAAACAGAATTTTCATTGGAATTATTTGGTTTGGCATGTTAACTGGGTAACTCCCCTTCAGTTGCACCACATACTTCCACTCTTATATATACGTACTTTTTATTTTTATTTTTTACATTAATTTTATTGAGAAAGTAGCAATGAGACAGTTTCAAAACAGGTTAGTAGGACAGTTACAATAATTAATATATTGCATATTGTTGTCTTCATAGTAGTTATGCATAGTACAAGATGCTGACATATCTTGTCTAAAAAGTACTAGTTCAAAACTTTCTTTTCATTGAACTAAGAGAAAGTAGCTGTATATCTATGCTATTTTGTATATATGTATTTTAAAAAATTTTTTTTGAATTGTCATTTACTCCTGATTCTTGTCAATTGTTGCCATTTTTCTTTTCTTAAAATATAAGTCAGAGGGGCCGGGGAGCTGGCTCAGTGGAATAAGCACTTGCCTGACAAGCGCAGTGGCCTGAGTTCAATCCCCGGTTCCACAAAAAAAAAAAAAAAAAAAAAAAAAGAAAAGAAAAAAAAGAAATCTAAGTCATACGGGCCAGTGAGATAGCTCAGTGGACTAAAGGCCTGCTTAGCTGAATGCAAGGAACTGGGCTCAATGCCTGGCATCCTTACACTGTGCCAGCCCCTCCCCCGCCCAGCCAGCCACAGAGACCCAGTGGGCGGTATATGTCTGTAATCCCAGCTCTGAGGAGGCTGAAAAACAGGAGGATCATGACAAGTCTGAGCGGCATAGTGGGACCCTACACCAAATACATCAAACAAACAAACGAACAAAAAATTAAGTCACAGTTCAATCAAGGTTACTTACCTGGAAAATCTTCCTTCCTTAGAGCCGGGTTGCATTGCTTTTGCTAGCAAAATAAAAAAGAGATATCAAGAATAAAGAATCTGTAAGACAATTAAGAATTCTTAATGCAATGTAAGAAGTGGTCCAAACTGCATTTCTCAAAAACTAAAGATCTCTTCAAAGACTGAAGGAGAGCTCATAACAGTAAAGATAATTCTGTACAACAACTCTACTGGCAAAACTTTAAAAACGTAATTCTATTTTTCTTGCAGGAGGTCACAAGAAAAATCTACAATTTGAAAGGCTGTAACTTTCATTCTTGTTACGTATCAGGACTCATTTCACCTCATATTGATTTGTTCCAATGTATCTGGAATCAAGCAGCTAATAATTAATCTTCACTCACCATCTCTACTGTATGAACCAATGGATTGGTGGGGTTAAGGGCTGGGTTCTGGGTAAACACTAGTTATTTTGCCATTTTCTGTGTGTACAGAAGAAAGCCTCTTATAGTCTTACAGAAACAGACAAGTAGGGGAAGGTTCGGGGTTGGGGAAGATGGATCAGGAACAGGAGGAAAGACAAGAGTTCTAGCCTCCAGGGGGTCAAATCCCCACTTACATAGACTGAAGCAGCTTTTCTTTTTTTTGCCGGAACCGGGGATTGAATTCAAGCCCTTGAGCTTGCAGGGAAGCGCTTATTCCACTAAGCCATCTCTCCAGCCCCTAAGCTTCTTGAGTCTCCTCTCAACTTTTTTTTTTTTTTTTTTTGGATAGGACAGAAATGGTATCCATTGTCAACATAATTAACCAGTGTATTCAGATTTTTAAAAGATGTTTTCCCTTGTGATGCAAAAGAAGTAGCTCTGCCTGTCAGGCTTCAAGGCCAAGGTGAGAACTAATGAACTGGTAACAGGCAGAGTGCTTTTAACTCAGCACACTGATACTCAAGTGCCCTGAAAAATCATTTCGAGTCCGCGGCCGACAAATTCAGCAGCACGCTCTTACAATGTCACAACGCCGGGTTTCCTAGACGAGTGGGTTCGCCAGTTCCACTCCGCTGGAGCGACAAGGCTGCCGGGGACAGGGGTGGAGAGGTCCTAATTCGAGGACACGAAGGGGCCAGCAGCGGCAGCGGGCTTCCAAGGTCGCCGGAAGTAAGATAAGCAAAAAGAAGTAAAAGCGCCCCAAATTACGCGGAGGGGTCCTCACCCTGGGCCTGGCTGCCAGCGCGGCCGACTGGGCTGCCCCGCACCCTCACCCAAAACAGGCAGCACCGCGGAGCCGCCCGCGCTCTCCGCGCGGAGCCAGAGTGGACCAGGGACGTCTCGGGCGGCCCCATAGAGCTGACGGGCGTCTGCGAGAGCCAATGGGCGCCGGGAGGCGGGCCCGAGCGCTGGGGGGCGGGATTTCCCGCGCGGCGGCCGGGCGCCGGGCTAGGGCGGTGCGGGCGGGCGGGCGGCGTCGGCGGCATCGCTTGCGAGAGGGCGGGCTGGGTCAGCTGCTGCGGGCGCCCGACGCGTCTCCTGCCGCCGTCCTGCCTCCGCCACGATGCCTGGGATCGACAAGTTGCCCATCGAGGAGACGCTGGAGGACAGCCCGCAGGTGAGGCGCGGGCGGCGGGCGGCGGGCGGCGGGCGGCGGGCGGCGG